ATATGTATATGTATATGTATATGTATATGTATGAATGAGGGATGCGATGGCTCAGCGGCTAAGACGCTGAGCTTGTCGATCAGAAATGGTTGGCAGTTCAGCCGTTCGAATCCCTAGCACTGTTTAATGGAGTGAGCTCCTATTACTTGTCCCAGCTTCTGCCAACCTAGCAGTTCGAAAGCACATAAAAATGCAAGTAGAAAAATAGGAACAACCTTTGGTGGGAAGGTAATAGCCTTCCGTGCGTCTTTGGTGTTTAGTCATGCCGACCACATGACCCTGGAGATGTCTTCGGACAGCGCTGGATCTTTAGCTTTGAAATGGAGATGAACACCGCCCCCTAGAGTCAAGAAAGACTAGCACATATGTGCGAGGGGAACCTTTACCTTTGCTATATATCTGAATAGTTACCATGAGGGGAATCAACTTGATTACAAAGGCACCATTCCTTTGTTTTCATTTGAAAGCCACTACAACCTCTGCAATCAAAAAGAACAGCATGTCAGCATTTTGCAACCGGGTGCTTTTCCCAACCTCTCTAACAGTGGGTGCTTTTTGCGGTGGCTGCAGGAATGAAGAAGACAATCTGGATTGATGTGAGCTCTTTTGTCTGCAGATCCTTGCAACTCTTTCTGGCAGTGCTGTAGATCAAGGCTGAAACCTTCAACATTAATCTCTTTTTCACCCTTCTTTTTGGCAGGGAGTCCACAGGCTGCAAACTGACAAACAACTGTTTGATTTTTTTCCCAGCAACTGCCTTGAAAGAGACGTTATAGGAGGAGGACGGTGCAAGGAGAGAGAGATTAAATTCAGTAAATTCATTTGCCCCAATTCAATAATTTGAATTCAGGAAGCAGCTAGAGGCAAATAGGGAAAGGGGAATGTGTTCCCAAACATTACAAAAAGAAAACCTAGTTTTGATGCAATTTCAAACACATTCACACGCTCACACAATACAGATAAAATATAGTCTGCATCCACTCTTTCAGATTTTTACCTGCTGATCTATCAATCTCTCATTCTATTCCAAGGAATCTATCTCTCTGCTCAGTTCTGCTCTCTTCTCCAGCCCAATTACTTTCCCCTCCTTGGGGAGGGGGGGTGGGAGGAGGACAGTTCAGATGCTCATGCTGAGTGGACAATATTAAGTTGCATCCAGAAAGCCCACCTTGCTGATCCAGCTTATATCCCCTTCACGGGTGAGAGAATCCTTGAGAAGGTGCAATTATATGACTTGCCTAATTACACGAGGGTTTTTTTTAAAAAAGAAAATCAGCAAGATCCAATTTCTTGCTCATCGGTAAATTAAAAGATAAAATTTGAAAAATGGAGGGTTTTAAATACATTGATGTGAAAATTGTCCTGTCTCTCTAAAAATCTCCTGTTGTAATGAAGTTTGCAGAACAAGCCCATAAGAACCTTTCAAGGCAGTGCAGAGAGATATTTTTTACTCCGTTTCATGCACTTTGGTTATATTACATACAGCAATAGAAGGTGCTGTGGGAGATGACAGCACTAACCAATCTTGGCTAACAACAAAAATTGAGCAGGAGCAGAACTAGCAGGAGAGTGGTTAAAGAAAAATAATCAAGCTGGCAGCCAAAACATGTGATCACAGCCCTGCCCCTTTTAACAAGCCCAATGTACATAAAAAAGGGGGCTGGGAGGCAGCTTTGATCACATTGTTGTGGCTGCTGACTTTTTTAGCTGCTCACATCCAATTCTGATTAATCCTGGGGTGGGAAGCTACTAGGAAATCCTGTCTTGTCTCAGAAGTCATTAAAAATATCCTAATAGGCAGCCTGGTCAAACTCTTCCACGGTATTACCAGCATAGCATCATGGAAGTGTTTATGGACTCACAGTCCGGGCATTGTGTGTGTATTGTGAGTAGAACTGTCCTACAGCTCATTCAGAGGTGACATTCTTGTTCATGTAGAGGATTTTTCCCTCTCACAGTTGTCATGCAGAGCCTGGGGAAAAGGCTGCTCCAGGAACATATCAACAAGGGGAGGGCTAATAGATAATCTATGGAATGAATGTTGCTTTCCTTTGCCTCTCATTATTGGGTTTAGATTATGTGACTCAACTAGACAAGACTGAGGTCACTTGGTGCCTTCTCTATCATTGACCTTGTCATATGAAAGAGCCTCCCCCACCTCCAAGAAACAGACACCCCCAACCCTGCCCAAAGACCTGGCTTTCCCCCAAATACTGGGGTCAGCATGTTAATGGAGCTCTGGTATGGGTGCATGTCAGTGGTGGGATTCAATTTTTTTTACTACTGGTTCTGTGGGCGTGGCAGGAGAAGGTTACTGCAAAATCCCCATTTCCTCCCCACTCTGCTTTCCAGCTCTGTTCTCCTGTTCAGGGCAACAAAAGAAGATCATTCTGTTATTTAGCCCTCTTCGGTATTTAATTTCTCACTTTCCACTGCTTTTGAATTCCCCCAGTTGGCTTTTTAGCGATGAGCTATTTATGTATTTAGCCTACTTACATGGCCACTCATATACCAGTGGCACTCAGGGTGGCAAAAAGTAAAACCAATTTTATAACACACACACAAACACATATACACAAATGATCCCATCCCCATCTCAATAACAGCATAAGAAACACACATGCACCAGAGGTGGCATTCAACCAGTTCTGACAGGTTCTGGAGAACCGGTAGCAGAAATTTTGAGTAGTTCAGAGGGCCACCAGTTCTCTGAACTACTCAAAATTTCTGCTACCGGTTCTCCAGAACCTGTCAGAACTGGTTGAATGCCACCTCTGGTGCATGTGTGTTTCTTATGCTGTTATTGAGATGGGGATGGGATCATTTGTGTATATGTGTTTGTGTGTGTGTTATAAAATTGGTTTTACTTTTTGCCACCCTGAGTGCCACTGGTATATGAGTGGCCATGTAAGTAGGCTAAATACATAAATAGCTCACCACTAAAAAGCCAACTGAGGGAATTCAAAAGCAGTGGAAAGTGAGAAATTAAGTACCGAAGACGGCTAAATAACAGAATGCCAAGGATTGGAGGGCTTTTTTGTTGTGCTTCCTGCATTTTCCACCTTCATCTATTCTCTCTGCAATTGTTCACCATTCAGAAAAGGGAAACCTATTTTCTGATTGGCTTCTTCAGTCTTTCTTAGATTTGCCATTACAACACAGCAAAGATGGGGAGAAATCTGTAATAAAGAATGCCAGGTTCTATTGTCCTGGTTGGTATGTTTGTACAAGATTGCCAATAATAGATGAACTCACATCAGAGCTGCATTAACTAAAGCTGAAAATTTGCTAGGCAGGATTTATTGTTATATGTCAAACACTAGCACTGTGATGAAGTTAAATGCAAGTGGAATAAATAACATCTCTAGTGAAAGGGAGAAAGATGGAGAATGGGAGATTGACTGTCTGCGATAATGCACTGCTTGAATATTGTACCTTTTAATGTTTGGATCTCTTGTAGAAACTTCAGATATAAAATGCTACAGGAAAAGAAGTTGTGTGGTTACATCTTTCTCTCACACAAACAAACATTAATGGAGAGATTGGAGCAAATGCCAAGCGTCAGACACATCCCCTGCACACAAACTTTCACAATAATCTAAACCTTAACATAATTAAGGGTAAATGGGACCAAGTTTGATACCCTCTCAAAACTGTATATGTCAGGAAATGTAGGGCAGAGGGCAGGGAAGAATGTTGTGTGTGCAACAGGTATAAATAATTGACAGAGCTTTAATGACACCATTGCGGCTGCCATTTTGACTTTTTTTTTAATCTCAGTCCCAAACATATGACTGCAAGGGAGCGAACCCATTATGATCATATGCCATGTCATAAATTTAGTATTTGACATCGGTTGTGAAACAAATGCA